CAACAGAAGCCTTTATGTTCAGGAAATACGTATTTTGTCACATTCACTTCATATGTTGTAAAACATCATTAAAATACAAAAAAGGAGCGAATTGTCACATTGAAGAGAATTTGGACCACAACGTTTCAACACATCTGTTTGATAAGCAACTTAAACGATAAAATGTTTCATAAAATTGCTGGTTTTTAGCGAATAAAGTGGAGAGCTGGACTTGTTCTTACGCACTATGACCAGTGTCCAGACTTTTATAAAGCACCATGCACGAGTCAGATAATGGGCTCAAATAACGTGCTGTTATGTGTTGTTTTTAGTGGCTGTTTTGTATCTTTTTGTGGCTGTTTTATTTGATTTTTGGTCACTGTTTTGTGTGTTTTTAGTGGTTGTTTTGTTTAATTTTGGGTCACTGTTTTGTGTTGTTTTCAGTTGCCGCTTTGTGTCTTTTCAATTCAATTAAATTTTATTTGTATAGCGCATATTTACAACAACAGTCATCTCATAGCGCTTCACAAAGGCAAAAACAGAAACACCCAACAATCCAAAACATCTGGAACATCTTTTGTTGTTGTTGTTTTGTGCAGCTTTTCTTGTTTTGTGTCGCTTCCACGTGCTGTTTTGCGTTGTTTTTAGTGGTTTTGTATCTTTTTGTGGCTGTATTATTTGATTTTTGGTCACTGTTTTGTATGTTTTTAGTGGTTGTTTTGTTTAATTTTCGGTTGTTTCGGTTGCTACTTCGTGTCTTCTCCTGTTGCTGTTTTGTGCCATTTTTCATATTTTGTGTCGTTTTCAGTATTATTCTTTCCAACCTTTTCAAACCTCTGCTGTTTGTTTGCTGCCAGATGTTGGTCCCACTGGAAACACACCTGCAGCCGGTTTATATCACCTCACAGAGGAGTTTGTGTTGCAGGAATCATTTCTGGGAGCAGAAATGATTGGTGGTGGAGAAGCTGCCAGACTGTCATTCAACTCCTGAGCTCTATGTCGTCCTCCCACGTGTTGCTTGTGTGATGAAGCTGTTTTCCTGCCGGCCGTCTGCTGCAACTCTGACACTGTGTGATGGAGGAGCAGAGAGGCTCTAATGAGATTTGTCAGTCTCACTAATCTGTGATGTAAAGGTGTGAGCAGGATAAACCTGGACCGAGGTGATGCTGTTACCAGGCAACAGGTTTCACACCTGAACCTGCTCTGTTCTGTCAGATACGGCAGATGTTTCACAAACAAACAGCCGTCAGGGTTTTTACTGCTGTGTGTTTGTCCGACTGTCAGCAGGAAAACACAGAATCAAGACTTTCTTTGAAACTGTAAGACACGACTGCAATCCTTGAGTCCCCCTCTCGTCTTGAATTTCCCTCAGGATTAATAAAGTATGTATCTAGTTCTGTTTCAAAGTCAAAACATGGACTAGCTTTTTGTTCTTTTGTTCCTTAAAACAACTCATGTCCTTTTATTTGCTTCCTTCCTCCCTCCAGTGTGTTATGCAGCTGCTTTTTGTGCTTGTAAAAGGTTTAAAAACTTGAATTTCTAGTCACTTCGGACAAAGTTTCAGGTCTGTTAGGACATTTTTTCTCATTTCAGACAAATGTTGTCAGAGATGGAGCGAACAAAGTTAGAATGACCCATAGACACATATTAAACACATTCAGGAGTCCATATTCTTTTATTTGGTTCTTTCTTTTGGTGTGTTAAATAATTGTTTTTTTTTATTTCTGTAAAAGGTTTGCAGACTTGAGTTTGTAGGCATTTTGATCATTTTTTTTATATTTTTTTAACCATTGTACAAATTTTACATCATTTTCGACCTTCTGTCATAATTATAGAATTTTTTTGTCACTTTGAACATTTATTAAGTCATTTTGGACAAATTTTAAGTAATTGCAAACTTTTCATCGTTTTGGCAAATTACAAGTCATGTAGTACATTTATTTATATATATTTTTTGGCCTTTTCGCCTTTGTTGTATAGGACAGTTGAGAGAGAGACAGGAAAATGGGGAAGAAGAATGAGGGAAGGAGTTGCAGCAATGGGCCATGAGTGGGATTCGAACGTATGGCCACTGTGTCGGGGATTCTAGCCCCTGTACATGGGACACCAGCTCAACTAGCTGAGCTATGGTGGCGGCCTAGTAAATTTAATTTTTGTCATTTTTGATATGTTTCAAGTCATTTTGGACAAATCTTGTCAGAGGTGGAGAGAACAAAGTTAACAGGAGTCATTGGGTCACAATAAACACATTAAAGCTTCCATATTCCTCTTTTAGGTTCCTTCTTTGTTTTCGTGTGTTATACAGCTGCTTTTTTGGTGCCTGTTATTAAGGGTCTCCAGACTTGGGTTTTGAGCCATTTACGAAAAATTTCAAGTCAATTTAGACACATTTTTGGTTTCTACTCTTTTTTTGAACACATTTTTTAAATAATATTGGCATTTATTTATTTTGGTGTAACTTTGAACAAATTTAAAGTCATGTAAGACAAATTTTCAGACTTTGTTTTGGCATTTTGGACAATTTAATATCATTCTGGAGAAGCTATGGGACTATTCTGGACAGATTTTAAACTTGTTTTCATCTTAGATACTTTCTGAGTCCTTTTGGAAAAATGTTGAGAGGTGGAGAAGTTAGCGCGGCCGGTAGAGACACAATAAACACATAAGCAAAAGTTAATTTTCTTCTTTTTAGTTCCTTATTTCTTTCACTGTGTTATATAACTTCTTTTCTGTGCCTATAAAAGGTCTACAACTGATTTTGGACTAATTTTAGGCCATTTTAGACATTTTAAAGTAATTTTATAACTAATATGAGGTAATTGTGGACTTTCTGTCATTTTAGATGCATTTCCCCACAGAGACACAATAAACACATTAAAGAATCCATATTGTTTATTAGCCTGCTGTAGCATTAACTGGCTAGCTCGCTGTGGTTTCCAAGCGGTGTCAGTACTCAAAAAGTCACTTGATGATCAGAACGACAGTGTGTTTAAAGCTGTGAACTGTTTCTGATGCGAGCTGCTGCATTGAAACCTGCTTCAGACATGCTGAGAAGTGGCCGTGCATTAGTTAATGGAGCGGAAACGGCACAGAGGATGCTGTAATCCGATCTGCTGTTCATGCCTCTCAAAGTTGACCCGCCTCCTCTCGTGTCCTGTTTGTCCTGATACTATCTCTGATGAAACCAGCCTGCATCATCTCCTCTCGTCCCGTCTGTCTCGTTCACACTTTGTCCCTCTCACCAACACTGTAATCTTCTATTAGATAATAACATGGATGAATGGGCTGTTCACAGCAGCAGAATAAGAATGAGGGTAAAGAGCAGCAGGACAGACAGACGGCTAAAAGGTCAGGATTTATGTAAAAAAGACTAATTTTGGATTTAAATAAAAGAGTTGCTATTCAAAGAGAAAATGAGCAGGATTTCATTTCATAGCTCTGGTGCCAGATTCAATACAGAGACGGAAATTAAAAGTTATGAAGCCAATACAGCCAGAAGCTGTTTAATGAGCCAAACTGACTGATTTCTTCAGGTAAAAATCAACTCAGCCTCTTAACAGTTCTGATTAAGAAATGTTCAAAATGACTAAAACAAGTCCAAAGTGTTGCAAACTGTGCTAGAAAACAAAAAACTCAAACAGTGAAAAACAAAAATTGTCTATAATATTTCTAATACCATCCAAAATGACAAAACATGTCCAAAATCACTTGAAATGATGTGTCCTAACTGAGTCAACATTTGTCCACACTGAGTCAGAATCTGTCCATAATGAGATAAACAATTTACTACAGTTATTATATATTTGCCCTAAATGAATTTCACCCCAAAACCTACTCGCAAATTGGCCAAAAAAATTTTCAAAATGGGTTCAAAGAATAGTTGAGAAGGAGTCACAATATCTCCAAACTGACAAACGTTTTCCAACAAGTTCCTTGAATGCCTCCAGAGAACCCTGAGCTCTCCTGATTCTAGAGGATCTCTGCTTTAAGAGCTGAGAACCTGAAATCATCAGACTAATTGAGAGCTTTAAACATCTCTAATTATTAAGATAAGATTAGATTGACTCAGTTCCAGAGAAGCATTGTGACGGTGAACCGTGAAGTTGTTTTATTTACTGTCACAGAGGGACAGAAATAATGACGCTGTTTGTATTTTAATTAGTTTCCTGCATGTGTGAATATTCTCTGACCAATCACAGCCTGCCCTCATTGATGCCTAATTGCCCTGTTGCCGTGGAGACGCCTGTCTGTCTGTTAATAGGTTCTCAGCCCCCTCTCAGCTAATGGCCGCGACCGCTAACCGCTCACTGCCTGCAATTAACCTCTGATGGTTGTTTTTTTCTTTTGTTTTTTTTCCACCCACAGAGCACAAACTCAGTTCTCCATCAGGTCACAGCCTGTAGGAAAATCCTCACTTCTACTCCCTATCGTGCACTGTAAATTAAAAACAAAACATCCTGTGAAATTCTGACAGCAAGGGTGTTGGAAAATGTTCAAAAATAGTGAAACTAACAGCAAATAGCTGTACAATCATTATTTTAGGCAAATTTGAATACAATAAAACAGCATAATTTCAAAGGCACACATTGTAAATCAATAAACAAGTTATAAAAATACAGATGTTTACAGTTTTGTCATGTTTTAGTTTTTTTTACAGTAAACATGTAAATACTTTTTTGTGAAAATATGTAAAATAACAGTTTAAGGTTTTACACTTTTAGAATCCTTATTGTACATGAGTTTCATTTCAAGTAACAGCAGATATCTGTAACATAATGACTTTTGGCCTGTTTTTGTTTGTTTGTGTTTTTTACACTCAACATGTAAATTGACACATTTTACTGTGATTTTAGTAGATATGTTCTGTAAAAAAACTAAACAGAGAAAATCTAAAATAGTAATTTAAAAAAAAAAAATTTCCCCACTGTACACTAATTTTTTTCTCACTACATTCATTTTTCTTCACTGTGGGCTCAATTTTCACTGCGGCGTAACATGTAGCTTCACCTGTGTGTTCTCAGGTGTAACAGGGCTGCTGCACCTGGACGAGAACGGAGACAGAGAGACAGACTTTGCTCTATGGGACATGATGGACACAAACAGCAGCACCTTTCAGGTACACAACCACACACAGACACACAAACAAACAGATATTGAGATATTGTTGTTCAAACAGCCTCAAATTCCAATGTGCGAGTATTTCATAAATCTTAAACTGTGGAGCTGTTCTGAACAAACCTGCTGGGTTGTGTGTCTGTTGTGTGTCTGCAGATGGTTCTGGTGTACAACAGCTCTGAGGAGCAACTGACCTCTGTACCTGGAACGTCTCTGCACTGGGTGGGCGGAGTCCGTCCACCTGACGTCCCCATCTGTGGCTTCAAGAACGACAACCCAATCTGCCTCGCAAGTCAGTACAGTACAGTCCATTACTGCACCAGGAGTAAAAACACTCCATTACTGCACCAGGAGTAAAAATACTTTACAGCACCTGCGGTAAAAAAATAAATAAACAAATAAATAACTTTATTACTGAATCTATAAAAAGTATAAATACTCCATTACAGCATCAGAAGTATAAATGCTACATTACTGCACCAGGAGCAAGAATACTTTATTACAGCACCTCTGGTTAAAAAAAAACAAAAAAAAACACAAAAAAACACTCTCTCACTGCACCAGGGGTAAAAATACTCTACTACTGCACCAGTAGTTAAAAAAAATATCCATCACTGCAATAGGGGTAAAAATATTCAATTACAGCACCTGCAGTAAAAAAAAAACCCAAAAAAAACCTTATCACAAAAATCATAGCATCAGAAAAATAAACACTCTTTTACAACAGCAGAAATTAAAAACACTCCACTACAACATTGGAAATAAAATACTCTGTTACAGCACCAGGAGTAAAAAATATTCCATGACAACAGCAGAGCTATAAAACTCCATTGCAGCACCAGAACTGAAATACTCCATTACAACACCATACGTAAAATACTCCATTACAGCAACAGAACTGCGATACTCTCATACAACCTCAAAGGTTAAATACTTCACTACAACACCAGAACCAAAACACTGTACTCTGACTAAATGCTCAGCAGCATGTCAACAGTTCAGCTGGAATCAGAATGATTTGATGTTTTTGAGCTTCTCCACCTACAAAGTTCACATTAATGTTCCTCCTCCGTCAGCATTGTCTGATGAAGACGTAAATCCAGCAGTTTGTTGGCTGCTCCCTCACAGTCTCCTTCTGTCTGACAGAAACCATCACCATCCACCAGATGGTGTCCATCGTGATCTTCTTCATCCTCACCATGACTCTGACCGTCACCGTCTTCATCTACAGGTGAGAGGAGAAAGACGGGAGCTTGGTTTAGGACTGGTATTGAACAGTTTGGATTTTTAATTAAATTTCTTTTTTTTTTCTTCTTAGTTTTTGGCTGGTTTTGTACTGGTTTTGGGTTAGTTTTACCCTCAAGTTTGAATTGTTTTTGGGCCTGGTTTGAACTTACTCTTGGTCTTGGGTTAAGACTGGATTTATACTTGGTGTAGGATTGTTGTTGGCTGGTTTTATACCTGGTTTTCAGCAGTTTTTTTTCTTGAGATTATGTAGTTTTTGGAGCTTTGTTTTAGAATGGTTTGAGTGTTTTGGTTTTGGTTTTGTACTGGTTTTATACTTGAGTACACATGCATTGATGTATCTCTAAGAACTTTAGACAAAATTTGAGCTTAGTTTTGGGCTTAGTTTATGACTTGTTTCACACTTAGACTAGTTTTTGGACTTTGTCTAGCACTGGTACTAGTTTCTTGATAGATTTTTAACTATGTATGGGACTGGTTTTATTCTTGATTTTGTCTTGGTTTTGAACTTTGTTTTAAATTAGTTTCAGGGTGTTTTTGGACATGATGTGAACATGGTTTTGGTCTTGGTGATATGCTGGTTTTAAATTGATTTAGGACTGGTTTTACTCTTGGTTTTACACTGGTTTAGAACAAAATCTAGACTGTTTTTTTGCTGTGGTCTGACCTTAAACTTAGCTTTGGACTCGATTTTGGACTGGTTTTAAACTTTTTATTCTGGTTTTGGACTAGGTTTTGTATTGGTTTTAGATGTTTTTCTGACGGGTTTTGGGCTTGATATTGGACTGGTTTTAAACTTGGGTTTTAGACGGTTGTACTCTGGTTGTTGTCTTTGTTTTTGGACTTTTTTTTTTTATTATTGTTTTTTGATGTTTTTGTGGCTGTTTTTGGGCTTGATTTTGGGCTAGTTTGGGACTGGTTTTACTCTACTAAACTTTTGCTCATTGCTGCTGTGTATTTAGAGGAAAAATGTTGGCTATTTCCATTAAAACACAGAGCAGAGGTTTGTATTAAGTGTTTCTGTGGAGTTTGGCTGCTGATAATATTTTGTATATTCAGGTTTGGTATGAACAATACGTATGTTCTGCCAAAACTACTTTCCCTTCTCAAACCACATTTATCGGTATCTGATACATAACAACACAGGTAGGTCAGACATGAAGAGTCACAGTCTCTTTAGTCTCTAAGCTGTGACTGGTTGTGTTGACTGGTTGTGCGACTGATTGTGTTGACTGGTTGTGCGACTGATTGCGTTGACTGGTTGTGCGACTGATTGTGTTGCCTGGTTGTGCGACTGATTGTGTTGACTGGTTGTGCGACTGATTCTTGCAGGAGAATGAAGCTGGAGAAGGAGCTGGTTGCTCAGCTCTGGAGGATTTTATGGGACGACATCCAGATGAGCAACCTGGACAAAGTGCTGCGTAGCGGCAGCAGGATCACACTGTCACTGGTGAGAATGCACAAACGGACAGACACACAAAGACACACACAGAGCATTTTATTGGGGACACTATGCAGTCCAATGCAGTCCACTACAACAGCTGTATATATATATAGTACCTTTAGGCCTTAATGTTCTCAAAACTGAATGTTGCACTGACAACATTCTTCCTTTATTGTGTAACATTGTGGGAACGTATAGATTCTGTAATGTGTACCATCAATGACATCCCCAGAACCTCCTCAGAACGTTACAGGCATAATGTTCCACTTTTGTTAATATATCACATTACAGGAACATTTTATTAAAAATAAATAAATAAATCTTCTGTCAACTGAGGTCTTGATTACTTTATAATGTTTTCCTAATGTTGCATTGAGAACATCCTTCCTTTGTTATTATTGCAGAAACCCAGCTAGCGTGGAACGTTCTCACAACATCTGCTAACATTACCTACAAGTCTTAGCAATTAAAAAACAAAAACAAACAAACAAAAAAAACCATTTCAGTCAAACGTTCAAAACAAGCTTGTTTCCCTATAAAACATTCTCACAATGGTCCATGATAACAAGGGAAGAACGTTCTCAAACTAACATTCAAAAGAAATTTTCCAGATGTTATTGAGGCATCGGAGGACAAAATGTTTATTATCCAGAATATTTTATAACATTCTTGTAATGGGAACATTTATGTGATGAAGGTGGAACATTTTGCCTTTTTGTTAAGGGAACACGTGACAGAACGTTCCCTTGTAAAACATTCTCACATTGTTCCATGATGACAAAGGAAGAACGTTTTCCAACCAACGTTAAAAAAATGTTTCAGAGATGTTATCAAGTCCTAAGATAATTTTTTTGATAATGTGCACTTAAAATGTGAAAAATTAACACAATTGGAACATTTTTCCTGCAATGTTCTGAAGATGTTTCGGGGATGTTGTTAAAAGAACACATTATAAAAATGTATTAAACATTTCCACAATGTGACAACAAACAACACAGGAAGAACGTTCTCAGCGTTTTGAGAATATTAAGCTGTAACAGTGCGACAGTGTTATCCCCAAACATTTTTAGAACATCTTCAGCTATCCTGCCTTGAAGAACAACATTCTGGGAACTAAAAGAAAACGTCCACCTGAAAACTGTTTACTGTTACCAGAACTTTGCAGAACTTTGTCAGAATGTTTTTGGAATGAAACAGTTCCAGCTGAAATCTCTGTCTGTCTGCAGAGAGGCTCAAACTACGGATCTCTGATGACCGGAGATGGAAACCTGCAGGTGTTTGCAAAGACGGGATACTACAAGGTAAATTATTGACGTTTTCTCCCTCATTCACATCCTCTCAGCGTTTTTCATCTGTCTGTAGTCGATAGAAGCACTCGGTCTGTCCTGGTTAGATCCAAAGACACATCCAGCCTGAGTTAAAGCTGCACCAACCCCGAGTTAAAGTGCAGAAAAAGGTTTAGCAAAAAATAAGTAATATATTCATTCAAACATGTGAAACAGAAGGCAGCATTCTGGGCAGTTAAAGTGCAACAGGAATGTGGAATTGATCATAAAAACTCTTCAGTGGTCCAGATACAACTTTATCATCATTATAACACAAACGTCTGGGTGCAGCTGCTGTTAAACATCACTGCAGTTTATAAAAGTTTAGGACTCTCATTCATTGTCTGACACACAGCAGCGTTCAAAACAAACACATGAGTCAGTCAATAAAAGTTTTTACTATTTGTATAGCATCTCTCATGCTGCTCAAAGTGCTTCTGAGTTGCTGATAATAAGACATAAACAGCAGGAAGTAAAAGAAAACAGCCTTAAAAAAAGATTTAAAAGTTTAAAAAAAAACAAACAAACATGATGTTGAACTATAGCTTTGAACGTGGTTCTGTGCTGGCTTTGTCTGGTTTTGGACTGATTATAAACTTGATTTTGCACTAGTTTTTTTCTTGGTTTTATGCTGGTCTGTTTGCTTTATTACCTAGTTTAAGGCAGGTCTTGTACTGGTTTTTGACTGGTTTTTTGTCTTTGCATCTGTTTTGGGCGTGGTGTAGGACTGGTTTTACACTTGGTTCTATGCTGGTCAGTTACTTGGTTTCATATTAGTTTAGGACTGTTTGTATCTGTAGTTTTATGCTGGTTTAGGCCTGTTTTTATCTTTACTTTTATATTACGTTAGGCCTGTTTATATTCTTGATTTTTAATGGTTTAGCACTGCTTTGGTTCTTGGTTTTGTACTAATTTAGGACTTTAGGCTTTTAAAAAATTAACTAATTTAGGATTGTTTTTTACTTTTTTCCCTTTTTTTTTTTTACTGATTTTGTACTTGGTGTAGTACTGATTTAGGACTGATTTTATACTTGTTTTTGGACTTTTTCGTTATTGAGTTTAGGTTTTTAGTTGTTTTTATACTTGATTGTGCTCTAATTTTGAACCTGTTTCCTTTTTGTTGTTTTTGCTCTGACATGCTACTGCTGCTGCTCAGTTACTCACACATGCATACATGAAGTAAAACCATGATGGGAACTCAGACTTTAACAGGTTGCAGCAGAAAACAAGAGAAAAGAAACCAACCAAAACACAGCTACACATTTTTTAAATTTAGAAGTTTTGTGTATTGTTCTTATTGTACACACAAGTTTCTTTAATTACAGTTTGCTGCTCTCTGTTTTTTTGCAGGGAAATATTGTGGCCATTAAATACACCAACAGAAAACGCATCGAGCTCAACAGAACGGTCCTGTTTGAACTTAAGCACGTGAGTATCTGATAGTTCCGGTTTAATGACATTTCAGCCTCACAAAGTGATGTTCACAAACTATTCCCAAAGTCTGGAAATCCACTTGTACAAAAACAAACTCTGCTCAGTGTCTTACTGGCAATTATAGAGCCCATAATTCGAAATGATTAAATTGATGAACAGTGGTGGTAAAGGTCTGAGCGCTGAGCAGTTAGGAGTCCAAACAGACGCTCGTTTTTTCCAGGCTTTGTCCAGATTTTTTTTATAAAGGTTTTCCAAGTTCGCCTGGTTTCTCGGGATTTTTTTGTAGGTTCTTCTGGTTTTCCACTCATTTTGCAGGTTCTTCAGGTTTTACAGGTTTTTAGGTTTTCCAGGTCTTTTTCACATTTTTTTCAAGGTTTTTCATGCTTTTGTCCATGTCTTCCAGGTCTCCAAGTTTTCCAGGCTTTGTTCAGATTCTTTAGGCTGTCCAGCTCCTTGCAGTTTTCTTAGTTTTTCAGAGGATATCTGGATTTGCTATTTTTTCCTCAGGCTTTTTTCCAGGTTCTCAGTTTCCAGGTGCTCCAGGACACGAGTGACTTGTGTTGATGTTTGTGTTTGCAGATGAGAGACGTTCAGAATGAACACCTGACCAGGTTTATTGGAGCATGCATCGACCCCCCTAACGTCTGCATCATCACAGAGTACTGCCCCCGAGGAAGTCTGCAGGTAGCAACACCTGGACACCTTCACGTCTGCCTGCCTGCCTGTCTGTCTGTCTGTCTGTCTGTCTGTCTGTCTGTCTGTCTGTCTGTCTGTCTGTCTGTCTGTCTGTCTGTCTGTCTGTCTGATTCCATTCTTGTCTTTGTGTCCTTAGGATATCCTGGAGAACGACAGCATCACTCTGGACTGGATGTTCAAATATTCTCTCATCAATGACATTGTCAAGGTACGTCTCTACCTCCTCTTTCACCTGTTATGTCCATTATTCTGTCTTAGTGTCCTACATTTGTACACTCTTGGAACAGATAGTAATAATGCACTTGTTCTGTCTGTCTGTCTGTCTGTCTGCAGGGCATGGTGTTTCTCCACAACAGCGTCATCTTCTCTCACGGTAAACTCAAGTCATCAAATTGTGTTGTTGACAACCGCTTCGTCCTGAAGATCACCGATTACGGTCTGTCCAGCTTCCAATCTGACAGCGACTCAGGAAGCGATGCTCACGCCTACTACGCCCGTGAGTCACAGCTTTCAGCCATTATCACCTTAGATAGACATGTCTGGATCTGAGTCATTTAATATGTAGTGTCTGTTGATACAGAGGCCCAGTGTGATACCATTTTCCTTGATAAAACACATTTCAAGGACATTAAAGAGAACTTTGTGGGGTTTTAACGAACACCAGGAAAAAGACGTCTGTGACACCTAATGACCTTCAGAGTTTGAGTTCGCTCTACCATGATTTCGCTCTATCATGATTTCGCTCTACCATGATTTCGCTCTATCATGATTTCGCTCTACCATGATTTTGCTCCATCATGATTTCGCTCTACCATGATTTCGCTCTATCATGATTTCGCTCTACCATGATTTCGCTCTATCATGATTTCGCTCTACCATGATTTCGCTCTATCAGCTGTGACTGTGGCTTCGGTGGTAGAGCAGCTGTCCTCTAATCACAAGGTTGGCATTTCTATCCCCCATCCCTCCACAGTCGAAGTGTCCTTGGACAAGACACTGAACCCGAAGTTGCTCCTAATGGAAGGCGACACCTTGCATGGCAGCTCTGTCATCGGTGTATGAATGTGAATAAAACACATTCACATCCAGGTCGTCACTGTAACTGAGAACTGGTTCTTGATTGATTGACCTACCTGGTTAAATAAAGATTAAAAATATAAATGAGTCAGATGTAGCTTTTAAACAGGTTTTAGAATTAGTTTTAGACTGAGTGTGGACCGGTTTCACAGTGGTGTTGGAATGGTTTTGTAATTGGCTTCAGTCTTGTTTTAGACTGGTTTCAGTCTAGCTTTTAGGCTGACTTTAGAACGGTTCTTGGCTTGGTTTTTGACTTAGTTAAAAATTTAACAGAATGAAAAAGAAATAACCGACAAGTCAGAAGATGAGGGAGATTTATTTTATTGATTAGGTGTATTACCTGGTCATTCCACCAAGTGGAGCCTCTTATTGTTAAATACTGTAGTGACCAGAGGAGGTGGTTATGTAGACTATGGACAGTTCATGTTGTGGGGGTTTAGATTGTAAAGGGCCACCATGACATAGACCTCTGTGGAGGTTAATGATCATCGAACAGAGCTCATGTGTTTACAGTGTCACATAATGAGTTTCTGCAGTCCAGAATGATCCACTACAGCACACATTCTGCTCTGGAGGGACAAAAGCTTGTCTCATTTGTGAGTTGATTTTTATTAATAATCACAGCTGTATTAGGTGGAGCAAAGTGAAGGATGCAGCAACAGCATTCCCACCAAAGAGTGATGGGTGGAACTCTTGTTGGAACATTTGCTGGCAGGGAAATGAGAAATGTCATTAAAATGGAAGTCAATGAAGCCAAAGCTGTGAACTTTGAAGAACTTTTGGTGACACCTGTCTGTGGTTCTGATCTCCTGCAGAGAGGTTGTGGATGGCTCCAGAGTTACTCCGGTTGGAGTCTCCTCCTCCTCAGGGAACCCAGAAAGGAGACGTCTACAGCTTCGGCATCGTCCTCCAGGAGGTGGCGCTGCGACGAGGAGCTTTCTACCTGGAGGGAGAACCGCTGAGTCCCAAAGGTAGGACAGATCACATCTAGCACGGGAAGCAATGAAAGGGGCTTCAGGTCCCTGCTGGACCAGAAAACGACATCATGATGTGAAAAAAATAACATCCAATGAAGAATTGACTTTTCTCATAGATGTACAAATACAAATAAAGGTAATATAATTGTAACACCCAATTATACAATAATTAACTAACAAGGTAGTAAAACCTAATTATGTCATAAAATATGCCGACTAATACTGTCATCAAATTTCAGGTGGTTAATGTGATAAAAAGTTCATCAATTTTATATAATTTTTTCCTATTTATTTTACAGATTTTTCCCCTGCATTTTAAAAAAAACCATAAAAATACATAAAAGTACAAAAATCCTGTGAATTTACATAAAAGATATGATTTTTGACATATAGATATACATATTATATAAAGCTGGATGTAAAAAAAAACATTTTTTTTTTGGAAGGTTACATGTATAAAGTCACATTACAGTTGATTTTATAGAAAGATTTTAAAATTTACAAGATTTTTTTGTAAAGTTATGTGTTAAAACCCATGTTACTCTTGATGTGATCTAAAATGAACAGTTTATTTTTGTCATTATAATCACAAGTGTTTAATAACGGTAATTTAATATTCTTTTCACATGTAAATCCATTAATTTTACAGTTGGACAAAGTCTTTTAACATTAAAGATCAATTAAATATGCCGCATTTTTATGTAAAGTAACATGTTAATTAAAAGTTTATTATTGTAGTTGCAATCATAAGTGTTTGAAAAAAAGGTGGGTTTTTTTGTGTTTTTTTTTTTATTATTTTTTTTTACATTTTTCAAAAGAAAATCCATTAATTTTACACGTGGGAAAGTTTTTCTTAACCTTCAAGATCAGTTAAATATAAAAGTTTACGGTGATTGTTCCTCCTTCTAGACATGATCTGTGTAATTTGTGTGTAAAGCTTTCAGCAAAGCATTCAGAATAATACAAAGAAGAACCCTCCAACAGCAGCCAGTTTCCCGCTGAGCTGCAGGACAGAATCAATCCGTCTGCAGAACAGAATTGACAGAAACCAGCATGAAGCTTGTTTTAAGGTTTTAAGTCGGTGCTTCTGCAGCCTTGTGACTGAACAAGAGTAAAGTAAAGATTTGAAGAATTAAACGAAAGGCTGAAAGGATTTATTTGTCTGAAAATAATAGTACAATCGTACCCCCATACTATTAGCTGCACAAACATGTTAGAGATCCGACCTGATCTGTCTTTCTAACCCGCCGAGAGTCGCCGTTTGTGGAGGAAAAAGCAGATAAACTGCTTTAAATCTGAAAAAAAACAAAACTCTTCTTCCCAAAAGCCTGTTGGAGTTTAACGCTGACTTTAACCTGAGCTTGAGGCAAGAAACAAACAAAAAAAAAAATCAAAGATGCCAAATGTTTTCTGCTCCTGTCTTAATTTTACTCACTGTGGACTCATTTTTCACTGCAACATAAAGTCCTGCACCTCAATGGGAACAGAACAACCACGACTAGAACGAAAGAGAGCAAATGACTTATGTGCAGTACGACACAGTTAGAATGACAGAAGCTGATTTTCTTGATTGTTTAAAAAATGACAAAAAATCTGGAACCAACATGTCCAACATGTTTCCAACACTGGAAAAAAAAAGGATACTTATAGATATTTAGCTTACACATTTTTACAGCCTCTACAAACTCTGAGAGACAGTTTTTCACTCCTTCGTGTCATTTTGTGCCGTCTATATCTTGTTTTGTGTTATTTTGTGTCTCATTACTATTGTTTTGTGCCTTGTTTTGTGTTATTTTGTGTCTCATTACTATTGTTTTGTGCCTTGTTTTGTTGTTTTGTGTCATTTTGTGTCTCCTTTGTTGTTGTTTTGTGGCTCATTTTTGTTGTTTGTGTCATTTTGTGTCTTGTTTTTGTTGTTTTGTGTCATTTTGTGTCTCATTTTTGTTGTTTCTGTTCCTGTTTTGTTGTTCTGTATTGTCTTTTTTTGTTGATTTTGTGTCTTTTTTTGCTTTACACCTTCTTTTTAAAAAAAATTGAATTTCCCTTCTGGGATAAATAAAGTATTTTTCATTTCATTTCATTTTTGTTGTTTTGTGTCATTTTCTTTTTTAAATTAGTTGTTTTTTTGTCTCATTTTTGTTGTTTTATGTCTTGTTTTTGTTTTGTCACATTTATGTCACTCATTTCTGCTATTTTGTGTCATTTTGTGTTTCTTTTATGTCATTTCCTGCCTCATTTTTGTTGTTTTTGTTGTTGGTTTTTGTTGTTCTGTCATTTTGTGCCTCTTTTTACATTTTTGTTCCTGGTTTTACTTATTCCGTGTTGTTTTGTGTCTTTTTGTTTCATTTATTTTGTGTCTCGTTTTTGTTGTTTTGTAGGAAAAGGCGAATAAATAGAGTTTGTCCTTCTGTGAACTCCAGTTTGTTTGTTTTCATCCTTTGATTTAATAAGTTTAGCAAACACGACACATTGATCAATCAAACTTTGTTCGTCGAGCGCTTTTCGAACAAGTCAAATCCAGTTCAAAGAGCTTCACAAGTCACTCACCAAACAGTTAGAGCCTGATGCACAACAAAACAAGCGAATTAGGCAAAATAATAACAGCAATAAAAACCTGATTATGAAATATCCCGAAAATTAACAGATTCTAGTAAAGCAGTGATGATGATAAAATATGACATGAGTATAAATAGTTGAGCGATAAAATTATAAACACGGTGAAGTGACTCTGTTGAAATGTGTGTGTGCAGAGATCGTGGACCGGGTGATTCTGGGCGAGTGGCCCTGCCTGAGGCCCACCGTAGACCCACAGAGCCACAGTCCAGAGCTGGGCCAGCTGATGCAGCGCTGCTGGGCCGAGGAGCCAACGGAGAGGCCAGAATTCAACCACATCCGGCTGCTGCTGCGCAAACAGAACAAGTAAGAACTGCGGCTGAAGTCCGATAGACGTCCAAATTATTAGCTGAGTTTGACCATCCAGAATTTAAAATGCAGAAATCAATAATTACATTCTGACCAGTAAAACACCTGCAAAGTAAAGTGATTATTAGGACAACATTGGAGAAGTCAGAGTATTTACAAAGCGGTTTATTACAGCTGGAGACTTTGGTACAAAAAAGAACTTAGAACTGAAGAATGTTCCTCAGTTTGGACTAAACATCTGCGTGTGACACTGAACTGTAATACAGCTGTGACTGGACCTTAACCTGAGTGCACAGTGGGTAGTTCAGGGGTAATGGGAGATCAGAGCGCTTCGATCAAAGCAATGCTGGGTCGACTCTCAGCTGCAGCTGAAGTATTGTCATAGTAAAGAAAGTCATATTTTAATATGCTGTTAAAAAAAAAAAAAAAAAAAAGTCCCAAGTTATTATGAAATAACAATTTCCTCCAACATTCTGTCAACAAATGTCTTAAGACGTCATATTGTACACAATTACAAAAATTAATCATAGGACAGTGTGTTGTAAAAAATGTTTTAAAAAATTGTTAAAATGTCATCATATAGTGTGTTGTAAAATAGTACTACTACCATAGTATGACTGAGTGTTGTGTAACAAACCATTAACAACAGCTCCAGTATTACTCTTAGCTGCTGAAGTAATAGTTACTGTGATTATTGTTCTTGTAAAAAAACAGTTAAAGCCGACTGATACTGGCTCCAGTGCAGTGATAAAACTAATTTCAGACAATCAGTGAAGGTAACAGCAGCCACCAGGGACACTTTAACTCTGTGCTCATGACGACTCTTGTCGATTGAATGATGGAAACACAACTGTGTGTGTTCAGGGAGTCGAGGACCAACATCCTGGACAACCTTCTATCCAGGATGGAGCAGTACGCCAACAACCTGGAGGAGCTGGTGGAGGAACGGACGCAGGCCTACCACGAGGAGAAACGCAAGGCTGAGGCACTGCTCTACCAGATCCTACCACAGTCAGTACTGCAATACTACTAATACTACCACAGCGAGTACTGCAATACTAGCAGATATTACTGCAGTTAGTACTGCAATACTACCACATACTACCACAGTGAGTACTACAGGTGTGGTTTTCTCTGTGTTTTCGTACTTCTCCCTCTCAGCTCGGTAGCGGAGCAGCTGAAACGTGGAGAGACGGTTCAGGCCGAAGCCTTTGACTCGGTCACCATCTACTTCAGCGACATCGTGGGCTTCACTGCCATCTCTGCAGAAAGTACTCCGATGGAGGTACGCCGACAAAATTTAACATAATAGATCCATAATAAATAAGGGTATGAGTTGGTATCGTATGTTAGAAAATTGTCATTAAAATGCTATAGAATAGTTAGAAATGTTATTCATCATTAACAGATTAAAAAAGGAGATGTAGTATGTCATAAATGAATGTAGTATGAATTGGAGTATCTTATGTCATTTAAACATTCAGTATGAGCCCTAACATCTACTGTTACTGTCACACAGTTTGCTGTTAGAGATGTTGTAAAATGTCACAGCCAGTCCAGACCTTTAACACCTTCTGGACTCAGCTGATGGATGAACTGTCTGTCTGCAGGTGGTGACGCTGCTCAACGACCTCTACACCTGCTTCGACGCCATCATCGACAACTTCGACGTGTACAAGGTGAAAACTGTTACCTTTCAGAATAAATCGTCTTTGTTTTATAAGATGATCTCTGCTTCAAACACATAAACTGGATTAATGAAAGTAGCAGCAGCTGGACAATAGTCAGACGCACACTGAGCTGCTGTGTCCTGTGGCGCCCCCAGGTGGAGACCATCGGCGACGCCTACATGGTGGTTTCAGGGCTGCCGGTCAGGAACGGGAAACTGCACGGCAGAGAGATCGCTCGGATGGCGCTGGCTCTGCTGGACGCCGTCAGAACCTTCAGGATCCGCCACCGGGCAGAGCAGCAGCTGAAGCTGAGGATAGGAATACACAGCGGTACACAACAGACACACAACACAACACAACAACACACAACACAGTACACTCAGCAGAGCTGAAGCTGAGGAAGGAATACACAGCGGTACACAACAGACACACAACACAACAGACAAAATACAGTCCACTGAACAGAGCAATAGCTGAAGCTGTGGATGGAATACATGGTGGAACACAACACAGACAGACAGACAGACACACACACCCACACCCACACACACACTCACTCACTCACTCAGACACAACGCACAAAACGTAACACACATAGCAGAGCAATAGCAGAAGCTGAGGAACGAATACACAGCAGTAGACAACGCAGACACAACATGTAAACTCACACACACACTCAGACACACAGTCACACAAACACAACAGGCACACAACATAACACAGAGCAACAGCTGAAGCTGAGGACAAGAATACACAGCGGTACACAACATAGACACAACGGACACACAACACAATACAACAACACAGTATGCTGAGCAGAGCTCCAGCTGAGGAAGGAATACGCAGCGGTACACAACAGACACACAACATGGTACACTGAGCAGAGCAGCAGCTGAAGCTGAGGATGGGAATACACAGTGGTACACAACAGACACACAACACACACAGATACAACAGGCACGCAATATAGCACGCAAAACAATAGCTGAAGCTACGGACAAGAATACACAATGGTATAAAACAGGTATACAACACAATACACACACACACACACACACACACACACACAGGAAGTGTAGAGTCTTTTCCGTGATTATCAACAAACTGCTCACTGTGTTTTTTTCCGTGGATCTGAAGCAGGTTGTGTGTTTGCAGGTCCAGTGTGTGCAGGAGTTGTGGGTCTGAAGATGCCTCGGTACTGTCTGTTTGGTGACACGGTCAACACGTCGTCACGTATGGAGTCCACTGGAGAAGGTCTGAACTGCAGCACAGACACACACAGACACAGCTGCGCAAAGTTCATTTCAGTCAAACCTTAAACCTTCTCGGTCCCTCTGAAGCTTTCAGTGTTTCCAAGTCAATGTCCAAGTAGAGATTCAGTCGACACCAAACGCTGCAGGTCAGAGAAGTTGTTAATACACTAATATTAAACCAGGAAAATTCAAAATAAGTGTCACAGAGTGAAGTCTGCACAGTTGACGGGCTTTTATTCTGAAAAACATCCTGGTTTAGCTGCGAAGATCATTAAAAATCAAAACAATGAGCAGAACATTTTCTTTTTGAATGATCCGTCTGTGGGCTTAGTTAAGTTTAAATCTTGAGGTTAACACTCTACAACATCAACTATGGTGTGAATTACCTTCACAATTTGCATATGAGAGATTTAAACCTGACTAAAACAGTTTAAATTACATCTTTACGTGACGATTACAAATATTAAGGCTAAGACCCTGCAGGATTATTAAACATGGAGAATAACCTGACTGACCTGACTCTACAAAAATATTTATGAAAAACCAACAAATCCAAGGATTACCTGGACATTTGTGTTCTTAGTGTCATTGTGTTCTTCTGTTTTTCTTATTTATGTTCTGTATGTAGTGTACATACCTCGCCTATTTAATTTATAGTTGGGTTTTTCTTGCTTTTCTTACTTTGGGACTAATCATGGATGTTCTATTCTAAATGATCAAAAAGGAACGAAAACAACTACAGCAACACAAAGTTACTGCAAGAGAGACACAAAACAACCACAAAGACACACAAAAAAATCACAGAGACATAGTAAGACCTCATATAGACACAAAATTACCATAGAAACTTAAAATTATCACAGATACAAAATGACTGTGAAGAGACACAAAACAACTGCAGACACAAAATAATCACAAAGAGACACACAATTACTGCAGAGACAAAAACACAAAGACTGAAAGCAGTTTTCAGTCTGTCCGTCAGAGACAGAAAGCAACCACAGATAGACACAAATCACTACAGAGACATTAAGTTATCACAGATGTACAAAATGATTATGAAGAGACAAACAACAAGCATTAAAAGACACAATACAAACACACTCAAATTTACTAAAAAATAAACACAAAACAACCACAGAAAGAGTGACTACAAACTGACACAAAACAACTACAAAAAGACACAAAATGCATGTAAAGAGAGACAAAACAACCACGGACAATTTACTGCACAGAGACACAAAACAATGACAAAATACCCAAAACTACCACAAAGAGACACAAAACGACTATAAACAGACACAAAACGAGGTTAAGACAAAGAGACACAAAACAACTATGAACAGGCACAAAACAACCACAGAGACAAAAAACTACCACAGAGACACAAAACAGCTACAAAGATACACAAAATTACCACAAAGAGACACAAAACAGCCACAAAAAGACACAAAGCAACCACAAAGTGACAAAAAACTTCCACAAAGAGACACAAAATGACCACAAAGAGACACAAAAAAACTATAAATAGACACAAAACTTCCACAAAGAGACACAATACAGCCACAAAGACACAAAACAACTTTAAACAGACTAAAAAAAAAAGGCCACTAATGGGCACAAAATGACCACAAACAGACGCAAAATGGCCACAAAGTGTCCTTGTGTCTGTTCAGTTATGTTGATCAGATTCTACTGTGTGTCTGTGCAGCGCTGAAGATTCACGTGTCAGCGGCGACTCGCGACGTCCTGCTGGAGTTTAACTGCTTCCAGCTGGAGCTGAGAGGAAACATCGACATCAAGGGCAAAGGAAAGATGACCACCTATTGGCTGCTGGGAGAGAGCGACAGCCAATGACAGCGCACCGCGGGCAAGAGGACCAATGAGGAAGGACATGAGCAAGTAAATGAAAGACAAAGTTCAGGTAGGAAGGACTCTCCTGGACGTCTCAGGCCCCATCGTCACCTCCTTCGTATCTTTGAACAAAAACTCCGGAACTTGGAGGAAAGTTCCGATACTTTCACCCCGTATAAAAACACAACACTGTAAAAACTCTGCAGTGTGGAAGGAACGAACTGAAGCAAAGGATGGAGGGAAACCCGAACAAAGGGCTGCAGCATGAAGGACAAAAACAGCAGGACGCTTTAGATTCTGTGTTGTAGCGACGTTCTTTTTTATCTGGTCCAGTTTCAGCTGCATTGCAAACTCGTGAACAGCCAGAGGCGGCTGTTATTCAGCAGCAGGACAGTTAACCACATGTACCGTTAATAAACCAGCCAGTTCATCGGCATCCTTTCAGTCTTGTTGTCTTTAAAAACACCTCAGTTGAAGCATACGTCACCTTTGTGTTGCGTCTCCTTCGTCAGATCCTAATGAGCTTGTTACTGCCTCCTTATACGCCAACAAAACACCCACCGAGTTGAATGTTTCTACAGCAGAAGAGGCTGCAGTTTTCCGAGGACCTTTGCTTTTCACAGCACCTCAGACCAAACTGGACAACAATTAGAGTGTGAGTACAAAATGTGAATCAAAGGCCTTTTTACTTTAAAGGCTATAGAATGTGCTTCCGTCTTCATTTTACTTGGTAACTGGCTAACTACGCAAACTGCTTGATGTGTAACTTACAGAAACCAAGTTATATTTCAAAACAGAAAGTAGTATTTTGGGTGGCATAAACTTTAAAAACCACCAATCATTTAACAGGAAGTGCTTTTTTTGAGGTGGAATAAAGCTTTTAAACTTTAAGTATTTGGACATGATCTAGTATTTTGGAAGGGATATACCTTTACTCTTTAGTCTTTAGATAGAAAGTACTGTTTCAGTGTGACATGTATTAAAACTACATGTATTTGGACAGAAAGTAGTGTTTTATGTGAGAAAAATCTTTAAAACTATCAGTACCTGGCAAAAGTTGTGTCTTGGGAGGAATGAACCTTTAAAACTACAAGTGTTTGGACAAAAAGTAGTATTTTGGGTTAAATACAAATGTAAACTCTTCAGGTTTTAGACAGAAAGCACTATTTGGGTGGAATAAATCTATAAAACTACCAGTACTTGGAAAGTAATTTAGTATTTTAGGTGGAATAAACCTTTAGCCATTTCACAGAAAATACTGTTTTAGAGAAATAAACCTTACTAAACTGTCACTACTTGGACAGAATGCAGTGTTTTGAATGGGATATACCTTAAGTCCTTTGACAGAAAGTACCGTTTTGGCAGAATGTATTTATGAAGCCTTCAGTTGTGCACTTCAGCAATCATCCAGTTTGGCAGGTTAAGCTGTTGTGAGGCTCCATGTGATCTGAACCTGCAGTCTCCTCTGCAACAGAAACATCATATTGCGAATAAGCTGCAGTTGTAGTTGGTGTTTTTCTCCCAGCTGCCACAAGAGGCTGCAAAGAGTCCATTCCAGACTGGAAAACAAGTAATCAAAACGTTCAGAGTCTGTGTTCATAATGATCAAAACCTAATTTAAATTTATCTTCCATACTTGATGAAGTCGTCTCCTTGTGCAGCGATACTCTGCTCCCAGTGCTCCTGCAACACTCCCTGGAAGTTCTGTTCCTGTAAACATGTCAGCTCAGCATTTTCAACGTTCAGATGGTTTTCTCTGAATGTTCCCACTCAGATGCCTCAGGACATTACAGCAGAACTTTGCGTCGACTTTTTGTCAAAAATTACTCAAACGTTTTCAAAATGACGAAAGATTGGTCCACAATCATTCAAAACTTGTCCAAAACAACAAAAAATGGTCCACAATGAAAAGCATTTAGTAACACTGATTCAAAACAAAAAAATATGATCAAAGTGACTCGACATTTGTCTACAGCAACAAAACAACCTGTCCAAAACACTGAAATTGTTCAGAATGACTCAGAAATTGTCCAAAACGCCAATGTAATGATAGAAATGACTCGAAATTGGACCACGTCACTGAAAATGTCTCCCAAATGACTCTATAGAATGACTTTATAGGAAATTACGTCACGTGTCCAAAATGACATGAAATTTATCCAAAATTATTCAAAAAATTGTCTAAAATGGAAAAAACTTCACAAAATGACTGTGTTTGTCCATAAAAACAAAAAGCTGTCTAAAAATCACTGATAAAATATTGTCTATCAAAAATGTGACCAAGATGACAAAAACAATGTCCAGACTGACTCCAACATCATCCAAACTGACAAAACCGTGACAAAAATGACTAAAAATTGGACCACGACAGAATTTATCCAAAAGGATTCAACCCTTACGAAATTACTTGAAATTTGTCTAAAACAATAAAAACGTGTTTGAACTTTTTGGTCGCATCTTGTTTGCCTCTTTAAAAGTTTTTGCAGACAATGAGGTTTTGTTTTTTAAAAAAAACAAAAACAAAAGTTGTTAAAACTGACTACAACTTGATCCAAAAGGAGTCGGACGTCATATTTTGCTGCAGACTGAAGTACATGTGGGTGACGTCGCCTCTGTAGAGAGCTTTGTGGGTTCAGTCTGCTGGAGGAGACTCGGTTAAATGTGTAGTTTCAGCAGTCGGCTGCACTGACAGACGAAGGCCACAGATCCTCTGATGGAAGATGTTCAGGAGGAAATGTTCACTCTGTAAATATATCGCTGTGTTTTGGAATAAAAACCTGCAGCGAAATAAAGTTTTGCTTTTGAAAATCGTTGCATGAGTCTCTTTTGTTCACGCTGGTGTGCAGAATTTACCAACACTGGTTCTGTTTTATGTCTCAGAGTCATTTTGTGTCTCATTTGTGACACATTTGCCTCTTTGAGTTTGCTTAGTGTCCACATATAGATATTTATTTCCATTTTTAAAGCTTCCACAAACTGTGAGTAAGTTTGGCCTCATTTCTGTTGTTTCGTGTCTCACTTTTGCCATTTTACTGGTCTTATGTCTCTTTGTAGTCGATTCATGTCTTGTTTTTGTTGTTTTGTGTCTTGAATTTCTCGTTTTATGTCTCATTTTAGTCATTTTGACTACTTTCTTTCATTTCGTATCTAGTTTTTGTCATTTTATGTCTCATTTTGTTTTGTCTCATTTGTGTTAGTTTTTGTCTGGTTTTTGTCATTATGTCTTGTCTTCTATCTCATTTGTCTTGTTTTTCTTGCTGTTTGTGTCTCATGTTGTCTTTTTTGTTTTCATCTCCTTTTTTTGCTTCTTTCAATGGGTTCGTGTTCTGTTTGTCATTTTGTCTCAGTCGTGTCCTTTAGTGTTTCTTTTTTTTTTTGCGTCTCATTTTCTTTACCCAACTCTTCATCTCCAGCAGGAACAGGAAAATCTCCCAATCAAACCTTCTGACCTGCAAATATGTGAGACACAGGTATTGATCGATAGCTGAAAATCACAGCTGCAAATTCACAGAGTAAAAGCATTTTGGGTGAAAACTTCAGGGATGATCACAATAGAACAGAATAAAGTCAACCACAGAACAGGCAGTCATGTTTTAGTTGACTTTATTTAATAAGTGGAGCAGTGTTTAAGCAAGTCGTGTACACAGTGCCGATGGAAAGTATTCATTCCTGTGTAACGTGACAGAGCCTGAGCAGTTGTATAAAAAAGAAAGAGGTAAATTGTACTGACTGAGATCCATCTACAAAGACTCAATGTTGTAACTGCAGCCAAAGGTGCATCTACTAAATACTGACTGGACGGGGCTGAATTTCTCTTTTCACTTTGACATGAAACTGTCTATTTGTAAATTCTTGTCAAAAAATCTGGATTCAATGTTGAAAAGCAATAAAAGGCAGTGAAGACTTTTAATAGGCACTGTAACATCAGATAACATGCTAATGCAAAAATATATCTACAACATTCTGTGACCTAAACTGCAACTTAGTTTATTAGTAGGTGTAAG